TATATATTAAGAGTTAGCCCTGGACTGAAAAGAAACTTTTTACTGGCCAAGTCCAAATAAATTTCTAAAAAAGCCCAAATTTCTCATTGTTCAAGTAATGATAAATCCAGCCCATTTTCAATTTCTCCGTTTCTTTCTCAAACAGTTGCGGGAAGCAGCCGCGACCTGCGAGGCGCTAATCATCCTTCCATCTCTCAACGTCTCTAGGTAAAGCTCCTGCTTTCTTACCCTATATGCTTTGTTTTCAGGTTCTGACTTTTGTCCCTTTGTTTAAATTCTATTGTTTTCTTTTGTATAATCAAACTCAACACACCCATTTTTCTCCTTCTGAAAAGTCCAAGTCTTGTTTTCTCTGTTAAGTTCCTTCTCTCTCTAGAATCACTGGTATGGACAATGGAGTAAGGAAATAGGATTTGGGTATGGGTAACAACCCTGTTTGTTGTTGACGCAAAAGGGTGACGACTTTTGGGAAGACATGTTAGTTTTTATTGATGTCTCCTTTTACCCAGTTGCTTGCTTACTGTATTGGATGTTGTGCTGTTTTTTGTTTAATTATTCTCTTAATTTCTTGGCTTCTTTTTTGCTGTTTAAGTGTGATGGATACTTGATGTTAGCTCAATTTGTTGTCTTTATATTTTTCATGGCCTCTTGGGCAAAGTCCGTTGATTGTGTTCATGCCTTTGGTTGCCTTGTCTTTTTTGGCCTTCAATGCCTCTTTATCATTTAGTCAACCTGCTTGTAAAAAATGGATTTTTAGTTTTTTACTTCTTGTTATGGCTTATATGCTTCACTGAACAACGAAAATGTGCTTTGTAATAGAACGAGGCAAGCATTACCATTTTTTCCCTAATGCTGGAGCAACTCTGGTTTATGGCTTTCTAAGGGGACCTTGGTTTAGTGCTTTCTAGATGAATTCACTCGCTTAGGAGATTCTTTTTCTTAATTGTTTTTTTAGTGATGTACTTGTTTGAACATATGCAGACTTTGCCTTGGCTTTCTTAAATTTTCTCATTCAAGTTTGCACAATCTCATTTGATTTATTATTGGTATCTTTTTTCCCTAGCAACTTTGTACTTCATATAGGCTGAGGCAACTAAATTTGGGTTTTCATTCATGTAGAATATTCTTTGAGTACCCTTTTAGTTGTTTCCCTTGGACAGCGTGGGCAAAATCATACATCTTCATCATGGTTATTGTGTTCTACGATTTTTTCTTGAACTTTTTTATCATGTGATTTTCTTGATGGGACTTTCCAAGACTGCCTGGAACCATCATCAGTTGGACTTCGTTCTGTTGGTTATTTTACATTGTGTTAACACCGTTAAGATTATAGCATGGACACGTCAAATCTGTTTCACCTGGTTGAGTTCATGATTACATGTTCCTCTTGTTATTCCTCTATGCTGCATTTTATTAATCTGATATGATAGAGGGATCAAATGGTATAGTCCATTAATTACTTCTATGCTTGATTGCTTGTCAATGTTTTGAAATGTTTTTTCTGGAAACCATCAGATGTGATATATCTTATTCCAAGGACTAACCTAGTTTTTCCTTTTTCACTGCTTCTTCTACAAAATGCATTTTTGGACTATTGCCTATCGGTGCTGTACCCAGGACTCAATTAATGTTGATTGATGAGGCTTGGCTTGGGTTAGTCAGAGTACCAAAATCATATTCAGTTCTTAAACATCTGCACATGTCCTTGTGGTAATATTTTTTGCTTACTTTTGCAACTTTAATGTCTCTATGGAAACCCCCACTTCCTAGGATCCTCCTTAACAATGTCTCTTGCATGAGAAATGCCCAACAAATCTTGAGACATGTAAATGTTTCTGTCCACGATGGTGGAGCACTTGTATTGACTGGCAGCAATGGCTCGGGCAAGACTACCTTCCTGCGAATGTTAGCAGGGTTTTCTCGACCTTCTGCTGGTGAGATCCTTTGGAATGGTCATGACATCACACAATCAGGGATATTCCACCAGTACAAGCTTCAACTCAACTGGCTTTCTCTCAAAGATGCCATTAAAGAAAAGTTCACAGTCCTTGACAATGTTCAATGGTTTGAGGTTCTTGAGGGCAAGCAGGGCAAGTCCTTGCCAGCACTGGAGCTAATGGGGCTTGGAAGATTAGCTAAAGAGAAGGCAAGAATGCTGTCAATGGGCCAGCGTAAAAGACTACAGCTTGCAAGGTTGCTAGCAATTGACCGACCAATATGGTTGCTAGACGAGCCTTCTGTTGCATTAGATGATGAAGGGGTAAGGCTGCTGGAGTATATCATTGCAGAGCACAGAAAGAAAGGCGGGATTGTGATCGTGGCAACACATTTACCTATTCAGATTGAGGATGCCATGAATTTGAGGTTGCCACCAAGGTTCCCCAGACGGATGACCTTGGTAGATATGCTCGATCGTGCAGACATAGCATGACCAGTTGCAGCTACGTTTGAGTTAAAAACGGATCTCTGGAGTGTGTTGTAGATACCATTGCAGTAGAGTAGATCAATCAAGTTCAGAGCACACAAGGCATGTTCTTCTTGCCAAAATTGAGACACTTTGAAGGGGACATTGAGCCTTTCTTTTCCTTTTTGAGTTTTTTGAACTCGAGTAATAATTTTAGTTCTTGTTTCAGTGTAGGAACTTTGAAACCAGAAAGAAATTAAACAATCTTTTTTCGTGTTATTTACAACCTTACCAAATATCATTTGGATTGATCATCTGTATTAGTTGACAGTTAAAAAAAGAAATGAAAAATAAGAATCTCATCTTCTTTTTAGGAAAGAGTACATAATAAGATTGTAGTAACTGTGCAAAAAATATAGGTATGGTCATTCATTTAAAAGTTAAGACCACCTGTCTACAACGTAGTGGTTTATTGATTACTTTAATTTAATATAAAGTTCTCAAATACCTAAAATTTGAGTTTTATATCTACATTTTTTTTTCCCAAAATTTTTTACTATAAAAAAAAAAAGTTTGGACCACTTATTTTTATAAATGCGGTTTGTTAAAATATTAATTACTTTTTGTTTGGCCTTTAAATAGTTAATAATTATGCACTGGCCCTTGCGACCTAGTGGTTAGCCACCCCGATGCATTCTTCCTTCTTCTGGGTTGGGTTTGAAACCCGCCTCCTTGCAAATATGTTCAAAAAAAAAAAAGTTAATAATTATAATTATTAATAAATAATTAAAAATAATTAATATTTATCAATTAATAAATTAATATTAATAATTTTTAATATAATTATTTACATAAAAATATCAAAATATGAGCGTGCTTAACAAATAGCACCTGTGGTGACCCAACAGACAGTACCCTTCTTTAATTCATAATTTCATAGAGTACTAAGAAAAGTGAAAAACAATAAAATGATTACAAATGTTGCATTTGGAGTGGAGAGGAATCTTACGTGACATTTATCATAAGTTTTTACACCCAAAGTTTGTTTCATAATATGTGGTTTTATTCAACA